TGCAGGATAGATTTCTTGAATTAGGAATCCCATTCCCAAGAGTACCCAAGACATCTGGTAGCAGTTATTCCCGCCAGAGTGGCCTGGAAGTGGTTCTGCAAAAAGGTTGATCTGTCAGAGCTTGAAAGACATTACAGTTTGCAGGTGGTTGATTCACTGGGACTGGTCGATAGCTCTGAAGGAGGAAGTGAGTGTCAAGAGAGGTTTGAGTGATGAACGGAGCTCCGAATCCACAAAGGCAAGACGGGTATCTGGCATGCAAATTGTGGTAGATTTGGACGATGCAGGTCATCAAGGTGAGCTCCATTAGCTATGTTGAAAGTGTGGACTAGTATGTCATCTCGACAAAAACGAGGTGCCTTGAATGACAGATTGAGAGAGAGCTTTGCGGGAAGGGAACGACGGAGTAGAAGAGGCACCGGAACCCACAAGAGAGGAGCCGTAAGGTGAGTAGTCACAGAGGCTTCTAGTGGGGCCGGCATAGCAGGAGACACTGCCAGCACCGCTGTGGCTGGTGCCAGAGATGCTGTTGTTGGAGGCACCGCAGGTGCCAGTCTGTTGAAACAAGGACTGCAGGAAGGAAGGCGGGAGAATGTACTGCTGAGACGTCGATTACAAAGTTAATGATGATCAGGGACACTGAAAAAGACGCAGGGGGCAACAGAGCCGAAGATGATAAGAGGAGTGGAGGCAAAGGGGACGCCAAGGGAATGTTGAGATACCCAGGCACCAGGGGTGCTGCAGACAAGGAGAGGAGGGCAGGTGCTGGAGGAGCCGTGGAAGAGTTGAGATATGCAGGTGCTGAAGATATCGGAGGCGCCAGAGGTACTACTGATTCCAAGTCAGGGTAGAGGCAGTGTCTGCTCTGGCTTAAAGTTTCTTGGGGTCAGTTGGACCCCTTCAGCATAAAATTAGGGGTCCCAAACAAAAATGGAGGGGTCCAATTTGTAGCATCATAATATAACATAAACAACAGAATACAGTGGTTGTGAAAAATCAGACATCTTTTCGCAACTGCAAAATATCAACAAAGAGGCAAAGTGAGAGAAAGGTTCACATCAGGACACATCCTGCTCTCATGACCAAGAGGTTTACATTAAGGGACAAACAATTTCTTAAAATGGAAATTTGATACTAATGAATATTTTAACACAAAACTATCCATGTTAATATCTAACTTTGTAAATGAAAAGGCAGTACACGGGTGATCAGCTATTGGTAAGGGGTCATAGGGGCAGACATTTGTTAATGTTTATATCTAGATCTTCCAATGATTTGAAGTTTATGGATTCAGTCAAGTTCAATGGCTGTTCTGATGCTACTGTACTGAGTAGTGAGTTCATGTCGTAACTGTGACAATGATCAATGAGTCATAACATAATTGGGATATCAAACAGTTTTTTTAAGTAAGAGTATGTTCAGGATCCAGCATTTCCTTCATAATTCTAGTCAACAATGAACATGTTTCAGGTGCTATAAATGTTAAAACATGTCATTTACACTAATAACGGTTCTGTCAAAATGTGTTTTGCAATTCTTAATATAACCCACAAGAGATTGAATTATAATCAGCTTGATAAGTCTGTTGTAGAATAACTAAATATTCAGAGTCCGCTAAATAAAAACAATGCTTACATTCAAGTGTCCGCATTTATTCTTTATCATATACAGTATGGCGGTATCGATAAATCTCGAAATCCACACAAACTGTTGACTGTTTACTTATGCAAATCTAAGCACGATATATTTCATTGCATGATTGAATACAGGACTCGTTGCGGTATGTCACGGCTACTTGTACACACGTTAACTTCTTTATGATAGTTTCTGGGATGTTTTTGAAGTGGAATTACCCCTACCTCCATTCGAAATTGATACGAAAAAGAACCCATTTGTTTAAACGATGTCCCTTGATCAAACCTCGGTCGTATGTAAAATACAAAACAGGACGTGATGTAAACCATATAACCCACACAGGAACTTTGTTTACCAAACTCGGTAAAGAAAATCAGCATCGATCAATCCAATGAACAAAAAATATTTGAATCACATATTTCATAAGGTTATAAGCGTGCCCCATTTCAATCTACTGCAATAACATAGCGTACCATCCTACACGGTCGCTCGATTTCGCGGGTCACTGTTACCACGTTCTGAAGTATACCCTTAAATTAATATAGCCCCAGTCACTGCGTCCACGAGACCCACACATGTTACGCAGGTGCGTTCAAACTCATTTTTGTGCGTCCAAGACGCAAAAACGCGCTCTTCAGCCAACACTGTAGAGGAGTGCCGTAGAAGGCAGAGATGGTTTAGTGGCAAGCCCGGGCAAAGGGTTTCACCATAGGTGGGGATGAGATTATCCCTAAATGTGACAGCAAGGGTGGCGTAGGAGACCGCAACAGAGCATCAGTCTCGATGGGGAAGGGAGTCTCTGTGTTGTCACTGCGAGGATAGAGAACAGGGTATCAAACAATCAGGGCAGAGAGGACTGGGGTCCTGACCAGATTTCTTCATGCGGCAGAAGGTACAACAATGCATAAATTCTGTAATTTTCTTTCATAGTGATGTGGCAAGCACACAACAGGAAACGGGAGGCATAATGTAATTCAAAAACTTTTCCTTTTTAAAAGTTTATGCAAGCAAACAATTACTCACAAACATGAGGTAAAAGAGAAAATTGGATTATCCATGTCAAATAAATGAATTCAGAACGCAAGACTAAAAAAAGTGGCCACATTGCGTATTCAAATGGCGGATAGAACAACAATATGCCTGTTATAATACCGTGACTAGAGCCACAAACAAGCGATAAAATGTTATAAAGTATGTATGGAAAGACCATAAAGAGCACAAACCATTAACCAGAAGACAATATATGAGTTAATGATGATGTAAAGAACAAGCAATGTATGCTAGCAAACAATAAGCTTTATTTTCACAGTTGTGAGTGAGTGAGCGACTGGTTTTAACACCGCTTTTAACAGAATTCCAGTTATATCACGGCATGTCAGCTTAATGTGGGAGGAAAGCCTGAAGTGATGCAGGTCTCAGATGTTTACCACTTCGATGAAACCCAAGAGCATGGGTATGGTGCTGACAAACCTAAAAACATAATCAGGATTCGAACCAACAATCATAGGTTTCTGGCGTGGCCAAGGGACGCAACTCTGCACAGCGAATCGCAGCACCTTAGACAACTGGGCCCCCTGTGCCCCCTATTAGTACAGTGGATACACATACGTTCGTGGAGCTGACAAAGCAGTAATGTGTTCTCATGTGACGTCATCGCTTCCGGGTCACGTGCCGACTGAGTGAGTGTGCTCACAGTTACTGGTTGGAACTATTCTTTAGCAGCTTGACCTCACACAATTTGTTTTTCTGTAAAAAAAACAGCAGTAAATGCATTAAGGAGTAATGCAGGATAATTTTTAAAAAAATAAAATAAAATAAATATGATTTACATTCAATAATTTATGCTACCAGATACCTTTTAGATACCAGATTAGTAACTGTATCTTCATAAACAAATCTTACATCACGGAAAAAAGTAACACATCTGCCGTAATCATAAAACACTGTCCACGTTGAATATATTATACACATGTCTGAACGAGGACTGCACTGGTTGTGAAATGTATTTCAAAGGTAAAGGGGTGATTGGGTAGCCTAGTGGTTAAAGCGTTCGCTCGTCACGCCAAAGACCCTGGTTCGATTCCCCGACATGGGTACAATGTGTGAAGCCCATTTCTGGTGTCCCCCGCCGTGATATTGCTGGAATATTGCTAAAAGCGGCATAAAACCATACTCACACCCACATAAGTAAAGAAAAGCACACCTAATTTGACAAATGTTCTATCTGTTTGACTCCAAATGAGAACTATGAAGTACAAAATAATGTCTTGAAAAGGATATTTAAGTGGGAGACTGGGAACCTATGAAATAGTCTTGAAAAGTCATATTTTGCATTGTTTACAATTATTTTGTTTTATTGTGTATGTATCAGCATGTAAATATTGTGTATTTTAACTTACGTATTTTAAACTTGAGTAAATAATTTAGTACAGTATGGTAGTAGCTCTTTTAACTCATCTGAGCTCTCTCTACTAAACCTTAGGTCAAGTAGTAATGCAAGGTCTTTTGTGAGATGGTCAAGCCACAGCTTGGCCAGTGATTGCCTTTTCTATTGTTAAAACACTTTAAACACTTCAATATTTCAATATTTCTCTTCTCGGGTCACTGCTGATTTTCAACACTGCATGATTGGGGTAATTTAACTTAGACTTATTTAGTATTTATATTTATCATGAGGAGGTAAGGATCTGGTATTTTAGACTTGTTAAATATACTTCAATCATTTTAATTGCATATCTGTTATTGAGTATATAATTTGCAGTATCATCCACATGATATGCAATTAATGTTGTAAATATATTATTTATTCTTCGAAGTCTTAATATGTTAGTGTGTATTGTGATAAGTCATTGCTAATGTTACCAATTAGAATATAATGTAATTAGAGTGCAAAGCTACCTATTTGTTATACGATGCTTTCAGTAATTTATAGCTTACAGCTGTAAGTGTCAGTAAAATGTTGTACAGTAATGAACCCCTACTTTTGATGATTTGACTTATTATCTACTTTTCTTCCCTGCACTGCCTATATATCGCAAAATGACTCAAGGCACACGATAATTGTGAAATACGGTACTCTATCTTGGGCCTAGTCAAACGCCAAATATTGAGTGCGTTCTAGCATTAGTGGGGTCATATACCGATATATATATAGATCTAGACACCACTGTAAATTTTTCACGTATAGATCTAACCTTTAAATGTCCGACCAAAGACATAAATTCCAGCATCTTAGTAAAGTTTTCACTCATGGTCACTATTATTCTGGACAGTTTTCGTCGGCAATTCGATGTGTTAGGAGGAAGTTTTCATATGAACCAATTCATCCCGGAAGTTATTATAGTACCGCCATTTTCATTGGTTACCATATCAAACATGGCCTCTTCCATGTTGTATGTCAGCCTCCATGCTCTCCGCAAAACATCGGTGTTGACATTGACGAAATCTCGTTTCAGTTCAGGGAGTGAAAGAAAAACAACTATTACGATTGAAGAAGTAATCAATAATGGTGCTAATGAATCTTCAATGGGGAAAATGTCTGGTTCAACTTCCATGGAGTTTGAAGGTCCATTGGCGGGGGAGAAAGCATTGTATGGTTTTGCACGAGCTATGAAAATATTAAGAAAAGAACCCGTCTCAATTAATGATGAACGACAAGATGAAATAAATATCCAAGACAAAACATTTGCTTCAATTCTACGGTGGTCCAAGTTGATGCAAATTGGGGATCCATTCACTCGTGTTGTTGCAGGAACAATAATGGAGACAGTTGGGAATGATTTGTACATTGACTTTGGATGCAAATTTCATTGCGTGTGCGAAAAGCCAAAGTTGAACCCAGGGTAAGAAGATATTTGTTAACTTTTTGCCTTTATTAGGGAAACTGCAGTTGCCTTCCTGCAGCTACTATTGACTGCCGTTTCATTGATCTTGCCTGGGGTTATAGCGAAAACATAACATGCTTTGAAGTAAAAGAAATGAAATAAAACTCACAATGTCTCTTACAAACACAAATAATTGTGAAATGTTAAAACAAGTTTACCTTAGAAATTAGTCTCCTACGCCAATTTACTCGCCAACTCTGATTGGAAGGCGCAGCTAACTTATTGTTAAAAAACACTATACGCTTTGAAGTTTAACCCTCAGGATGCCATGTTTTTTTTCTGACGCACATTTTCCTAAGATCGGAAAAGTGAAGGTTGTGCGAGAATTGAGCTCATGCGGCACTGGATCTACTTCTGGCTATAAAATTACGCAGAGTTGGAGAATATTAAATTTCCTATGTGATGGTGTAAAGTTAACTCCGCTTTTTATCGTACACCGATAAAAGTACTGTGCAGCGATTTTTTTATTTAGAATATTTACGGAAACTGTGAGCAAACAAAATAATGCCTAATATCTGAACGACATAACTATACATCAAATGGAGTTATATGCCTATGTCTAACGACATACATTCAATGCCAAAAATAGCATGCCGTAATTGACGAAAACTGATTTTTCTCTATGACGTCAAAAGGCGACAGAGAGGTTACACACGTACAAAGAAAAGGGGGCATAACTCCGCTATGCTTAGCACTAGTTTATTGTAACTCAGGTCAATTGGTGAGAATTAACTGTGGGTAAGGACAATTTATTTTCGTGATGTTTTGTTCACGAGGAACCAATCTATTCCAACACAAATATCCATATTGAAACTGTATACGTTTAGTTATGAAAAAACCCATAAGAAATGATGAAATTGTACTTCATACAAAAAAGAGGTAATATTGAAATGGATGGCCCTATCTAACCTTAAACTTAGTCCTTAGATTCCAACATTCTCCTGATTGTGTAAGTGTAATTTCACTAATGTTGCACCATTATTAATGGAGCACTAGCCTTATCATCAAATGTAATGAAATACCAAAAAAATAACACCATTCCCTTTGACGTCATGGCTGGTTTTATGTCTTTGATAACTTCGGAGAAAGACAACACTGGTATTTTGATTAATATATATCTCCAATAAATTTCGATCATGGTATGGAAAATCTCGATGTGAAAAACGGAATTCGACACAACATAAAATGACTGCTTTGACCAAGTAAATAATGTCTTGAATATGTAAACAGTTAGATAGTTTATTGTGTATCTTAATGAGACAAGACACGCACCTGTTTGGCATCAATTTATGTAATGAAATACACAAAAGAATATTTCAAAACAACCAAAGTTATATTCAATATTGGACATATATTTGTTCATTATTAAGTTATTATTTATCTTCACCTCGTCTCAGAATTACACAATGGGCGATCTTTTTGTTCCAAAGGGCAATAACTCTCCTTTTGAAATGATATAAGCGACGGTCCAAACTGTCGCTTCCGGTCTGGTTCCCGGATCAATGCGCGCTGCGACAACTGCTGACACATAGAGACGGAGCCTAAGCTAAAGAGTTATCCTGTTGCACCTTCGTTCAAAAACGGTCGTTTACAACTGAATATTTTTAACTAGCACATATTTTGTAGTGATTATTAGTTTATAATATCAACATTTGTTGAGTTTTCATCTACAAGACGAATTGTCACTTTGGAATATAGCGGGAAAAACGTCATGAAAAATGGTATATTGCCACGGTATTTTCTACGTCAGAAAACAGCAAGGCATTCTGTCAGTCAGGGCTAACATATTGCATCGATTAAATAATGCAAACTCATTTTATTTATCAGCCTTTGTGTTATTACCCACAACAATTCAAGCATTCAAATCTCAACAAATAGTACCATGGGCTTCAATTTAATAAAATTAGTGATACGCAAGCATTTGCAGCACACAGACAACTTTGACAGGCCTTAACCAATGATCTATATAATAAGTATTCATCCGCGCCTTTACAAATATTTTAAGAAGAAATAACGTTCAAAATAATAAAACAACTGATTTTAAATGTTACTTTTTAGATCAAAATTAAAGTTGCATCTGAATATTTGAATTTATATTATTTTTTTTGGAAATAGGCCAAATGAACATCTACCATGCATCTATTAGATCTAAGCACTCAGTTACCCAGTTGCAATATACATACCAGTCATCATACATTGAAATAAGAGATTTACCCATATTATTCTGCCCCTTATAACATGTGTCCCACCATTAAGTGCTCTGAGTCATCAGAGGTGTTAATTAGTTGATCCATCATTTCTTACAGAATTCTGATACTCATGCTCTTAAAATAGTAGTTAATTACAGAGATGTGTCCCAACAAACAACAAATCATACTGACTACCCCACAAAATGTGTATGATGCATAAATAGAACTAAATCATAGTTTTATCTTCTTGTTTTAGTAACATTATATTTATTTTAATGTTGACAAATTATTTCCCATACGAACCAACACACTATCCTGCTGTATCTAAGTATCCTGATTTTCATTCAACAGTACTTCAAGACACCTGTAGTATAAAGTATATTTTGTAGATATTATTATCATATAGCAAATATGAATTTTATATGAAAATATGAATTTTATATGAAAATATGAATATGAAAGTTTATCATCAAATCTTCTGATGGTTAAATAAATGCAAATTGAACCCCACAGTCATTCCATGTAGATACATGGATTTATTTATGTTATTTGTTTTTGCATATACCAGATTATACTTACATATGTTACAGTCAGTGTCTATAATCAGGCCCAATATGTATTTTGACTCAACATTTCAGTCAATATGCATATTGACTGATTCACTCAGGTAAGGTATATTTTTTCTTACATTTTCATTCATTTATTATTGCCTGAAAAATAGGACCGGATTTTAGACAGACTGGTTGAAATGAATAAGACTGCATAATTTAATGTCCTCAATTTAATTTGTATCAATTTTGATCTAATCAAGATCAAAGTAACTTATGTAAGAAATTAAAAATGTTTTCACAATGAATTGATTGATTCTGCAAACCTGAAAGAATACCAGAGTCCCTTTTTTATGTTACTTTATTAGCATAAAATTCAGTTCAGAAACAGAGGACAGCTAAAAAGTCATGCATGTGTAATCAAATACTAATAGACATTCACAAGTGTGCCAAGATATTAAATAAAATAATTGTCATTGTGTCATTGTGCAATGAAGATATCTTTTGGTGTGAAGAGAAAAAAGAAAAACATTAATAATTTGTTTATGTTGGAATTTGAAACATCAGTTCAGAACAAGGAAACATAAAAAGCAAGTCCTAATGAAGTTAAGAATCAGCTTTATCTGTGTTACAATCATATGATTATTGTCAATCCAGACACTGCATTGTTAATACAATCAACATTTTAGAGATTGGCAATTAGTATGAATATATTGTTTTATTTAAAAAAATGTAGTTTGTACAAATACTCTTGAATATGTATTTTAACTAACATGTAGGGTCCTCTGTGTCTGAATTTTTTTGAGGCCAACATAATATATATCTTTCATTGATCATATTGAAATATAATGATGGTAGTATTTGGCAACAAACAGCTACCATTCATATACATAAAATCCTTGTATACAACATGCACCAATTAACCCTTAATATCAAAACAGATATCAGTGTTTTTCATTTCTTTTATTTTGAACATTGTAACATGATATCTAGTTTATGACGTAATTTTACAGTGCCTGTTACTATTTCTTGAGAACATTCCTCATTGCTCTCTGTTATATATCTGACAAATACTTACATGTGTTGCTGTCAATATTCACAACATTGAGGCTACGGGCAACGTCGCATGAGACCTTCACATTTCGCGTACCATATCGCCTCACCATTGTACATACTGAAATGCATGCATATGATGTAGCCTGCTCGGCGATGCTACAACATAGATATAGGAACGTATACAAAATCTACTTAATTTTCATATTCATACATCAAGGGCAATACTTTCAGTACCGATTGCAAAACGTCAACAAAGCGACATGGGATGAACGATCAGCTGATCTCACCGCATCGCTTCAAACGCCTATCTAGTTGATAACTATACAATATAATCAGTCGTGGTCATCCCTGATGTATCATTAAATCAAGGAACATTTATTTCCGGACATGGCAATAGATAAATCATTGTTTAGGCGAAAAGATATGCTGTCCACACACAAGCGTGATCGTTATACTAGTGACAAAGTGAAGGTTATACTAGTTAACTGTCTATAGGCGTCATAGTAACATGTACGGCTCGTATCGCGCATACCACATGCGCCGTCAGTTTAAGGTTGGACCGTCCGGGTCAGCGCACCTAGCGGGTTAGTGAAGGGAAGATAAATTGAAAAAGATCGCCCATTAAAGATGCGAAGAAAGTCCTATTGGTACAGAATTATCAGGATAATCGTATAAGGTTGAACCAACGGGGTACCTGGCATGGGTTTTATTTTTTATACTTTTTACAATTCCTGGAGAAATAAAGTAAACAGTTTAATATCCTGTGATCACAATATTGAAAAAAAGAATGAATTCATTGATTATATAATGCAAAACGAGAGGAATAATTCGTAAATTGTTTCGGACAAATGAGGACCTGGCGAATCATTAGATATCACTGTTTTGTATATCAAACGACATAAAAAAAACAATTCAATTGAGAAATGTGTGCATATATTTTGACGAAACATATTATCCATTTTGTTAAAGTAATATATTTAGTTTTAGTTATAAAATAAAATGAAACGGCTATTCATGGACATTGGTTATATGTACTTATAATATTGACTATTACACATCCCAAGAAATACGTACATGGTGCAGTTACATTT